AAAAATTGTTCGTCGCGATTAGTGCGATGCGAGGTTGCCGCGGCTCATATATATACTAGGTGAAAATTTGCATCCCGTAAACGAGCACGAAACGATACGCGTTCGAAAACGCTTTCGCGCGCGGCCACAGGCTCGTAACCACACCGACACACGTAAACGAGACCAACACTTATTAGACACACGATCTCGTTCGTGCACGGACACGTTCTCCCCACTAATCGATCGATATAATCGTAGTGAAACTTATCTAGGTACCAATTCACCTAAATCAATTGATAATTAAAAAAAAAAAAAAGTATATATATATATGTATATATGTGTATATACATATATATATATATATATTGATATACATATAATATATATATTAATATATATTATATAGAAAGTAGTATTGTTCCGATACTCGATCGCGAACCGAGTATTTGGGCAAGAATCGAGATCGAGATTTTTCTAGACAAATTTTTCTAATCGTTGACGAATCGCGCGGTGTTCTTCCACGCATCAAATCGTGGAGACAATCTCCTTCTATCGATACATACTCGCGTAACGCATCCGTAGAAAATTCTTTAAATCGTTTTTACGCGGCAAACGGACGCTCGAAACGAGGCGGTAATCCGTGTCAGAAATTATTTATAATTATCCCGCCACTTTTCACTAAACGAATTTTTCCCCCTCCCCCAGAGCGGTGTCTTACGGTTCTGGCACGGATCGTATCGATTCCCGCGCGCATGCGTATATACGCGTACGCGTGCATATACACGATTCTTCAATATATATATATATATATCTATATATATGATATATAAACACACAATATGAAAACGTGCATGCATGTTTTTCGTACCGCGGAAGTATAGTCGTTTTTCTTCGAAAACGTTAACCAAGAGATGATGATGTCTTTTTCTAGGCATCAATCTCGGGTTCGCGAAACGCGAAATACCTGCGTGGTTTGGATCATACGTTTCGATCATACCATGAACGGTATGGTGAACACGCGAACGGTGGAGACAATTATTAGACAATTCAAGACATTTTCCAAATATTTCCGTGTCCGCCGATATCGAATCGAAACGATTTATTTCATCGTTTCGGACAGTTTGGACAGTTTGTTTTTGTACGTGGTAGATAGTGATTTAGGCCAATTAGGGAATTTTAATTTGAATATTTTTTAGACGTGTAATTTTTTTCTTTCTTTCTTTTTTTTTTTTTTTTTTTTTTTTTTTTTT